GTGTCTGACTCTTGGTTTTGGCTCAGGTCATGCTCTCATGGTTCATGAGTTTGAGTCCTGCATCTAGCTCTGAGCTGACAGTGCAGAACCTGCTTGGGATTCTCTCTCTCCCCGTCTCTCTGCCCCCCGCCCCTTGCTCGTTTTCTCTCTCTCTCTCTCTCTCTCTCTCTCTCTCTCTCTCTCTCTTAAAATAAATAAACTTAAAAATCTTTAAATAAAGAACTTCCTGGGGCGCCTGGGTGGCGCAGTTGGTTGGGCGTCCGACTTCAGCCAGGTCACGATCTTGCGGTCCCTGAGTTCGAGCCCCGCGTCGGGCTCTGGGCTGATGGCTCAGAGCCTGGAGCCTGTTTCCGATTCTGTGTCTCCCTCTCTCTCTGCCCCTCCCCCGTTCATGCTCTGTCTCTCTCTGTCCCAAAAATAAATAAACGTTGAAAAAAAAAATTTAAATAAAGAACTTCCTTACCTTCTTTCCTTCACAGTCTATTTTTGGAGTCGCTTACTTTTTTCTTTCAGTGATCTCAGTTGCTAAATTTGTTACCCTAAATTCAGCCTATTATCTTGTGTCAAGAATCTCAGTAATTATATTCTTTCACATAAAAGATATTTTTGTCACTTAATTAATTTTTATTCTCAGCCTAAGGTTTGCTGACTTGATCTCCATGGAACAGATTAACTCCTTCTTATAAACTTTATTTCTGTACAAAAGTTTCAAAAACCAGGAAATGAGTGTCTCAAAATTTTAGATTTTCAGAGTTTGAGGGGTCCTTGGAAAATGAGCCGAATTTACTCAGGCCCTGAGAGGTGGGGGGAGGGGTTAACTGACCTGCCCACAGCCACATATCTAGGTCATGGCAGTGCTGGGAGTAGCACCCAAAATATTAGAGGGTAAAGAAACTGTTTTCATCACACAAAAAAGTCAAGTAAGTAGGAAAGAGCTCTTGGCCACGACCCTGGAGACAGAGTCAATGATGTCGTTACTCAATATTCCTGGAGTGATTTCTATTCATCAGGCACTGTGCTAAGACCTACCTGTTTGCATCTCATTTCATTACCAAACAACCCTTTGTGATTGGTATAATGATTATTACACCAGTGTTACAAGGAAGGAAATGGATATTTCAGAGATTTAAAAAATGTGTACATGTTTATACAGATAAAATGGCAGAGCCAGAATTTGAGCCCAACTCTCCTGTGTGTGGTTTACTTCCAATGAAGGGTCTCAAAGTGGAACGTTGCCCACCAATGCAAAAGGATGTCTTCCTGGACCCAGATCAGGGAAAGCTCAGAGAAGAATAAGATAGGAGGCTGCAAATAAGACTCTGGCAATGGGTGGTTTTCCCTGTCCCCATCACCCAGAGAACAATTAGTGCTCAGAAATGTTTGCTTCTAATGATTGCTGGGCTTTTACTTTGGACCCAGGAGTGAATGACAGGGCAGCCATGTGGAGGAAAAGTGTGGCTATCCCTGCCCATTAAAATAATGAACTCCCTAAGGCCATTTTGAAGACTTGGTAATAAAGGAGCAGGGATTCCAGAAGCAGATATTACTATTTGCATGAGGCCAAACCACAAAAAATTGACTGAACCAGAAACCAGGCATAGAGCAGTGGGAAATGCAGATGAAGTGAAGGTTAGAAAAAATGTTAGTGGAGCAAGCAACCGACAATTCTTCTTCTGTAGGAAGAGATCTCAGGACACTTCTGCTTGAAGTAATTCAGTAAGTTAAGCTCCTTCCTTCCCAACCTCATTCATCCAAAAAATGACAATTATATTTTACAGCCTATTCCACATTTTATCTGTAAAAGGGGCAGAGTAAGTCCACACTTCCAGGTAGGATTAAATGAGCTAATATAAATCAAGTCCTTTGAACAGTGCCTGGTACTCAATAAGCCTTTAATAATGTTTGTGATTAGATTACATATTGCATATTATATTATTATAATTGAACACTAATTATAAGCTAAACATTCTGTGAAAGCTCTATAGATAAGCAGTGAAGAAAATTCATTCATTCAACAAATATTTACCGTGCTAATGTCCCAAACACTGTTCTAGATCTATGATAGGATAAATCAATAAAGAGATTGATAAACAGAGGAGGGCACCTGTTGGGATGAGCACTGGATGTTGTATGGAAACAAATCTGACAATAAATTTCATATTAAAAAAAAAGCAGATCAATAAACAGAACTCCTGACCTGCCTTTAAGTAGCTTACATTCTTTCAGGGAAGATTTCATTAAGATAAGAAACACAGGGACACCTGGGTGACTCAGTCAGTTGAGCATCTGACTCTTGATTTCGGCTCAGGTCATGCTCTTAAGGTTGTGGGATCAAGCCCCGTGTCAGACTCTGTGCTGAGCATGGAGCCTGTTTAAGATTCTTTCTCTCTCTCCCTCTGCCCCTCTCCTCTGCTTGAGCTCTCTCTCTCTCTCTCTAAAATAATAAGATGAGAAACACAAAACTCATGTTATTTTCTCTTTGGGAGGTTCACAGATTAATGTCATGGTGAAGAACAGTCTTGGCTCTTCTTGGTTTTGGCTCCTCAATCAGTTACTGATTGTGGGAGATTTTAAATTTTAGAAAACACAAAGCTAGTAGTATGTATTTATTTTAACTTAATTGGCACATCTGTTTATATATATATATATATATATATATATATATACACACACACACACACACACACACACACACACACACACATATATATACATTGTGAAAAGATCACCACAATCACGCTAAATAACTTATCTGTCACCTCTACATAGTCACCCTTTGTGTGTGTGTATGTGTGTGTGTGTTTTGAGATTTAAGATCTATCTTCTTAGAAAACTTCAGATATATAATAATGTCAACTATTGTCACCAAGCTGTTCATTAAATCTCTAGAACTTATCCTGAATAACTGAAACTTTGCACCCTTTGACCAATATTTTCTCATTCCCCCCTCAACCACCCCAGCCTGCAACCATTATTCTGCCCTCTACTTTTATGAGTTTGACTTTTTAGATTCCACAAATGATATGCAGAATTTATCTTTATGTGTCTGGCTTTTTTCACTTAGCAAAAAGTCCTCCAGTTTCACCTATGTTGCTGCAAATGACAAGATTTCCAACTTTCTTATGGCTGAATAATATTCCACTCTCTCTCTCACCTATATATTTATCTACCATCATCATCATCATCATCATCATCATCGTCACTACCACCACTACCACCATCATAATCATCTACCTCAAGTTTCTTTACCTATTTACCTATTAATGGACATTTAGGTTCTTTCCATATGTTGACTATTGTGAATAATGCTGCAATAAACACGTAAGTGAACTATCTCTTCAAGATACTGGCTTCGTTTTCTTTGGATGTATATCCAGAAGAAGGATTTTTGAATCATACGGTAGTTTCCTTTTTAAAATTTTGAGGAACCTCCATAGTGTTTGTCATTATGACTACATCAATTCACATTCCCACCAACAGTGCACAAGACTTTTCTCTGTATCCTCACCAACACTTATCTTTCATCTTTTTAATAACAGACATCCTGACAGATGTGAGGTGATAACTCATTGTGGTTTGATGTGATGTGCATTCCCCTGATGATTAGTGATGTTGACAACCTCTTCATGTAGAACAATTTTTAATATGATGAATGATAAAGAAACACCATCAGATAGTTGCAATTGGCTGCAAACATGCATGAGCGGTCAAATTTCATAAAATGATAAAATATCAGTAACTTTAATTTTAGCCTTGAGTCTTCCCCAGGGTACTTCTGCCTTTTTTACACCCATTTATATTTCCTCATTTTGCACCCATTTATATTTCCTCATTTTGATCTTAGATCAGTGCCGGTTTGTCTTTCTTAACGCAAAATGCATACGGGCATCCCTCATGCCTTAAATATGATAATCTGGTCTGGCCTGATGACATCAAAGCTGTTCCATGCTTATCCTTAAATATTGTCCTTGAATATCTAATGAACTCTCTCCAGTTTTTCTTGCTCAGAAAATACTGGTTTCTGCTTGTTCTTGACCACAATGGCTCATCCAATTTCAGTTAGCTTTGATGTTCCATGGAGGCATTGTTCATGGCCCTTCTATCCCATAATGGTGTTGATTGTGTTCATCCAAATTTTGATCATTTTATGCAGTGACCTGTATAAAAACTTATTAGGTAATTAGAAAAAAATTTCTAGTTCTAAGCATGTGTATGTATACTTTTTCTCTTGGTTTTATTACTTAGAAGAATGGATTATTTTTTATTGTGGGTTAGATTTGCTGCCTCAAAATGGAGTATGTCAAATATAATAGCCTGTAGTGCTTAGCTGCTTTTCCAGATTCTTACATTAAAGATATACAAAATATAAGAAATTCCTAACTTTATTATTCATCTGAGTTTATATTTTCTAGTCAGAAAGTCTAAAAGGCCATAAGAAACTGAAGTCCAAAGGAACCTTGAGACTCATCTGACTCAACCCTCCCATTTTTCAGTTGAGAAAATGCGGATCGGGAGTGGTGAAGTCACTTTTCCACAGTCCTCAGGGAGTCAGGGATGGCCCAGGAGATCCTAAGGATACAAGAGTCAAGCCCAACTAACTATGAAAGTGTTTTGATACTGAATTAAGATCTGGGATAATTTAGAAGGTAAACTCCTAATTTTTTATCAATACATTTTCTTGGGATTAGAAAAGCTGATAATGTAGGATAGTGATAGATTTAATCTGTGATGACAACTCTGATTACAGTGATAAAAATGTTTAGTCTCCATTAGATGGATTCTCTTCTAATTAGCAATATATATAGCATACAGATTTTAAATAGTGCCAAGAGATTATCATGGGCAGACTTCCTCCAAGAAGGTTGCTTAGCAGGTGGCTGTGATGTTAAGTTGGTGTTAATGGTTTATAGGATCTTCCAAGAAATATCCACTTACATAATAACAAACACAATCTTACTGATCACAGGATTGTTTCTTTCCTTTATTCAGGAAGCAGGTCTATGGTTGTAGGAAGGAATAACACGATTGTGACAAAATTCATCCTCCTGGGATTTTCAGACCATCCTCAAATGAAGATTTTCCTTTTTGTGTTATTTCTGGGGATTTACCTCCTGACCCTAGCCTGGAACCTGAGCCTCATTGCCCTCATCAGGATGGACTCCCACTTGCACACGCCCATGTACTTCTTCCTCAGTAACCTATCCTTCCTAGATATCTGCTATGTGTCCTCCACAACTCCGAAGATGCTCTCTGACATCATCACAGGGCAGAAAACCATTTCTTTTGTTGGCTGTGCCACGCAGTACTTTGTGTTCTGTGGAATGGGGCTGACTGAATGCTTTCTTTTGGCAGCCATGGCATATGACCGCTATGCTGCAATCTGCAACCCATTGCTCTACACAGTCCTCATATCCCATACACTTTGTTTCAAGATGGTGGCTGGGGCCTACGTGGGTGGATTCCTCAGTTCTTTGATTGAAACATACTCTGTCTATCAGCATGATTTCTGTGGGCCCAACAGGATCGACCACTTCTTCTGTGACCTTCCTCCAGTTCTGGTTCTGTCCTGCTCTGATACCTTTGCCAGCCAGGTGGTGAACTTCATTGTGGGTGTTGTTGTTGGAATGGTTTCTGTCCTTGTGATCCTCATTTCTTATGGTTACATTGTTGCTGCTGTCCTGAAGATCAGCTCAGCTAAAGGTAGGACCAAAACCTTCAGCACGTGTGCCTCTCACCTGACTGCTGTGACTCTCTTCTATGGTTCTGGTCTCTTCATGTACATGCGACCTCGTTCTAGCTACTCCCTAAACCGGGACAAGGTGGTGTCCATATTCTACGCTCTGGTGATCCCTATGGTGAATCCTATCATCTATAGTCTTAGGAATAAGGAGATTAAAAATGCCATGAGGAAAGCTGTGCAAAAGGATCACGTGCATTCTCATGGGCCTTTGTTTTTCTCACCCTGAGCTAATGTTTTCAAAGAAGCCATGAGCTGAATTAACTATGCGGATTTTCATGTGGTTTTGGACTAGTTGATTTACACAATGATTTGTGTTGACCAGATTTTTTTCCCCTTTCCAATATTCCCCCAACTAGTTTACCTATTGGTTATTGGAAAACAGTTTGGGCATTACTGGTTCCTAGAATGAATAGCATTACATAAACCAATATTATAAATGCTCAGTTTAGCAGAAAACTTCACCATGACAAAGACAAAGACATTGTGTCTATAGCAGGAAAGTACTGAACAAAATGTTAGTCCTGCATTCAGGATGGTGATTCTTAAAGTAAGATAGGAATATATAGCATAGTAACCTGAGGAAGGAGATACTATTTCTAAAAACAGTTGCCTTTCTCTCTTATGAGGTTCTAACATGCTTCCTTTATGGCACATGAGCACCACAAGGCAGACACCCTCTCTTCTTTGAGAATCACAGCTATTGTGATCCCCTGTGACTGATGGTGGTATAGTACTGACCCTTTAGATGTGTTAAGGCAGGAAAGAGATCTCTAATCATGGCCTTAATGACTGAACATTTCTTAGGAACCTACAGAAGAGGAGCATACCTTCATTTGGCATGAAAAGTTCTATGTTTTCACCAATTTTGTGATAAGTTCTAGAAGGGAATTTAGCCAAGGAATTGAAGAGAGTGATTTTTCTCCTCCATGTTGTCTCAGAACTTGTTATGTGTCCTTGAACCAGCAATAAACAACTGGCATACATTTATTCAGCTGTGGCTGCTCTTGGTTGGCCATAAATAAGTAAAGTACCTACCTGTGTGTACTTGGGCTCTGTGTACCTTAGTTCCTTCTGTGTGTAAAATAGGAATAATAATAGTAAATATATCATAGGTTTATTGTGAAGAATTACATGACTCAGTATATACAAGCACTAGAATAGTACTGGTGGGCAGCAAATACTCAAGGGGTGATTATTATTATTATTATTCTATAATAATATTTATTTATCACCATTTGAGCCAAAGAAATAGACGACATTTCCTTAGTTTGGTAGAAAATGTGATATTTGTGATGGCTTTAATGCACTGGAAAGTGGGTCTGCAGATACCAGAGTGAAAGTGGTTAAGAGTATTTGTTAGGCATTCTTAAATCAGTAGACCTGCAATTATTTATCTCATGTTTGCCACTTTGTAGGTAGGTGGCCTTATGCAAGTTATTTACAAGCTCCATTTTTCTTATCCGTAAAATGAGGATAACAATGGTATCTACCTCATGCAATTGATTCAACAATTAAGTGAAGCACATGCATGAAAAGAGCTTAGCTTAGTGCCTGGTTTTATGGTAATACTTAATAAATGTTAGCTCATATTACTAGTCAATTTTGTATAAATCAAGAGAAATTCAGGTTAATGTGCTAAAAAGAAGCAAATTAGGTACTTTGGGGATAGGTACTCAAATTGAGACATAATAGTCTCAGTAAAAAGGCATGCCTGTGCCTCCCATCTCTGCCACTTACTTTGCATACAGGAAGCAGTCATTAGAAAAATAGAAAGAATTCAAGTTCATAGAAGTGGCTATACATGGAAATGCTACTATTAAGCCAACTCTATCAGTTACCTGGACACCTCGCCTTTCCTTATAGCCATTTTTCCCTCCTCCTTTCCTTATCTGTACCCCACTTCACTGAGCTCTTACCTTTCAATTTACCTTTGGTAGCTAAGCTCAAATTCTCCTAATGCCAAAAGTTATTGGAACAAAACAAACAAACAAACATATAAAGGAAAATATGCCTCACGCTTTGGATTTACATGGAGCTGTCACTGGTCTAATTATCATACATAAATTTTTTTGATGAACACAGATTCTGAATGTAAGATCTTTAGAAAAATAACTCTTGTTTAGCTACACACGTTTGCTGCCAATTGAAATTTTCTCCTTGCATTGATAAGACATAATGTACTTTTGCAGTTTTCCCAACTACCAAACAGAATAATTAATAATTATTAATTATTAATAATTGTTAAATACAGTGCATAAGATGGGGTTTGGTCATGAGACTTGAATGAAACAAAAATAATTAATTAATAATTAATATTAATCATAATATTATTTATAATTATAATTAATGTAATTAATTATATATTATATAATAATTATAATATTAATTATAATAATTAATTATAAAAATTAATTGTAATTATAATTATATATAATTATATATTTATAATATATAATTATATATATTATATTTATCTATTATATATTTATAATATATAATTATATAT